TAGAAATGTGGCTTCAGACTGGATAAAACTGGTTTAATGATTATTGATTGGATCAGCTCCAGATAGAACATAGCTCTAGAGTTTATACACTGATTAATGAGGAGATGTTATTGATTATAGATTTATATTTTAACATCTGCAGGTTTAAACTGATTTTGAACATTAATAATGTAACACCAACAAACAACCTGCTGCATTATCTGTAAAAATACAACCATGCTGTATTCGTCATTAGTCAGAGGAAATTAGTTTGAGATTTAATTAAGGTTAATTCATACTTCCTGTTTGTTAATTGTTGTTTATCTTGGGGCTGAAATAGTTTTATTAATTAGTTTTAATCACATTTCTTCCTGCAGTTTGTTCTGATGTGAGTTTCTGTTCTTGAGTCTAACTGACGAGAAAGGAAACAACCAACGAGGTTTTCATCACATTATACATAAAAAAAAACAACCTCAGAACCTCACTTCATGTTTTTGTGAGGACCGCTGCCACCGGACACGCCTTTACGGCGTTGTGTCTGCGTCATGTCGTGGCTCGGCTCCGTGATCCACTGAGATCTTTCTGTCCGACGTTGTTTACTTGTGTATTTTGTCCTTAAACAGGAAACAAACGTTCACATCTCCTCTGACTGACTTCCTGTCTGGTGCCACAATGTTGATGTAGAGTTTCCACACAGTATTTTATTCTGAAAATTGACCTTTGTCTGTGTCTGACTTCCTGTTAGTGTGAGCTGCTCTGTGCTGTTGGATGTGGGGGGGTCGGAGCGGAGAGAGGCAGGGGAGCTTACAGGAGCAGTCTGTAGGATTTAGTGCCATCTAGTGGGGAAGTTGAGTTCAGTGATTGATTGGAATTATTATATTCATAATCATATTCACTATTTTATTGGCTGATTCATTATTATTCTGCTTCCTCCTCAGAGCTGATCGGTGGCGGCAGCGGCCACCGATCAGGGGCGGGTCTCCTGCAGGACTCTCTCCTCCAATCGGGCGTAGCGCTTCAGCATGCTGCCGTACACCTGAACACACAGAAAGAAATCACCAGCTGCTGTCTGTCTGTCTGTCTGTCTGTCTGTCTGTCTGTCTGTCTGTCACTGCGCTGTGTAAAGCCGACTGTAGTGGAGGAGTAAAATCCTACTAAAGTACTCTCAGCTACGCGTTGTGCAGTACGATGTCTAACTGCTAACTGTTTTAGGGCGGGGCTTCAGGGAGTCCGTCCAGCTCAACCAAACAGAAAATTTACTACAAACACCAAAAACACACAAAAAACATCCCTAAAAGAAATTACAATATTTTAAATATTTTAAAAATGCTATTACTTTATGGTATGGTAATGTAATTCCGATTACATCATAATACATTCAAACATCACATCAGGAATAAAGCGTAAAGTTAGGAGTGTTTTCTATCCCAGCGCTGTGAGGAATGCCGCAGACACTTTCTCTCCCGCTATGTTGCTGCTTCATATTTAATATCCCGCTGTACAGAGAGAGAATATTCATCCACCAGCATGTAATCAGTGTGTATGTGTGTGTGTGTGCTAG